TCTTTGGATAATCAGCATAGAAGGTCGTAACGATGATATCAAATCATGGCCATCTGTCTACGATTACTGTACCCCAGTTGCGGCCTCAGGCCACTATGACGCCACTGGTCGTTATCGATAAGCACTCTATCCTCCTGTGCTCCGCTAAGCTTTGTTCTTTCATCTCTTTTCCACATGTTCGCTAAGATCAAGCATCCTCAACCAGCACGCCAGGAAATGGAGTATCTGATATAGATATTGTCATGGCAAGCCTCAGCAGAACCTTACGACCCTTCGCTCCTCGCCAAGTCCGCTGGGGCTCGCCTTTGTCTCCCCTTATACCCAGACGATTCCTAGGCATCCCACCTCAATTTCTCCTAGACGAATATCTCCCACGATATCAACTTCTTTCTTCCGTGGACGCAGCAAAGAAACGGTCACTCGCCTACGCTCACCTACAGAACTGCAATCTGTGCCCCCGTCGTTGCGGCGTGGATCGATACGAAGAGACAGGGGTGTGCTTGATCGGTGCGGAAACGGCCAAGGTCAATGTCATTGCGCCGCACCGAGGTGAAGAGCCATGTATACAGGGATACCATGGAAGCGGATCTGTGTTTTTCTCTGGGTGCAATCTGCGCTGTGTCTTTTGTCAGAACCATGTACGTTCTCGGAAGGGCTGAAATAAGATCCTTGTGCACTGTCACTGACATCACACGAACTAGGATATTGCGCACCAGCGAAACGGCTTCGATTTGACCCCTGAAGAACTGGCGGAGTGGTACATTAAACTCCAACAGGTGGGAAATGTACATAATATTAACCTAGTCACACCAGAGCACGTGGTACCCCAGGTGGCTCTCTCGATCCTGGCCGCCCGTGACATGGGCCTGAAAATTCCCATCATCTACAATACGTCTTCCTTCGACTCACTTGAGTCGCTCCAGTTGATGGATGGACTGGTGGACATATACCTGCCTGATTTCAAAGTATGGAAGAGCAGCACGTCTAAGCGGCTACTCAAGGCAGATGACTACGCTGAAACCGCCAAGGAGAGCATCAAGGAGATGCACAGGCAAGTCGGCGACCTGTCCTTTACATCCGACGGCATTGCGAAGAAAGGGGTACTACTACGGCATCTGGTCATGCCGGGTAAAGAAGACGAGGGTCGCGAGATCATGCGCTGGCTCGCAGAAAACATCTCAAAGGATCTTTATGTGCATATCATGGAACAGTACCACCCTGACGCACACGTTGGCAAGAAGAAGCGGACCACGAGGAACGCAAGCCAGGAAGACAAGAATGAGGTCCGCTATGCCGACATCAACCGGGCTGTTCGCGATGAAGAACTGGGTTCGGTCAAGGATGCTGCAGTAGCGGCTGGCTTATGGCGATTCTGTGAGGTCAATGAACATGGGGGGTTTCATCTATGAGACGATCTGTCTTTCGTCCTCTGACGCATTGACTCCGCGCTTATTGCAGGACGCGTACATCGAGGGTGGTACTGTTGCAGTGTGTTGGCTGCCAGTCGCGGGAACTCCGACCCATGTCCGACTTTATCCTTTTGTTGGCCAATTGGGCACGATTTAGCCGGTATTATCCAGAAGGGGTGACAGTCACACGGAGATCTTCAGGCTAAATCAGTTATCTTAGGTTGTTTTATACCCATGGGGCTTTAATCTTAGAGAAATGCCGATTTCACTTTCGTATACGTGTATGTATATTAGACCGTGGTCAATTTGTTTATATTAGCAACCGGCCGTGTCGATTAGCCTAGACTTAGTTTTTTTAAAGCAGTTATATACATGTCGACCATCGGTATTGAGTGATACACGTGCATCGCTATTTCTGACAGTAAAACCAGAATTGGATCTTTGGCTAGAAGATAATGTTGAAGATGAAGGATGAGAGACTTCTTGTGAAGCTATCCATAGATCGATCGCTGGGTGGAGCTGGTCGGGATGACGCCAGTTGACAGCTGAGATCCACTACTCCGGATGGGGTAACCCGGTTCGATTTTAAATGATTACTCGACAGCTTATCTCTCAGCTGAACAGCTTACGCACCGTTCATTCCAACCATGCTTCCTACAACTACATTATTATTCTCGAGTCAATAGAGCAACAACAGGGTCAACCATCACAAAATGAAACCCATCATGGCCGTCCCCGCCGTCCTGGCGCTCGCCCACCGCGCCTGGTCCCGCAAGACCCTCACACCACTGGGAATCATCGCCGCAGTCCTGACCGCGATCGCGCACGTTGTGCATCCATGGTCTTCGCCTTTTGCGCTCCTTGCGGTATTCTATCTGGGTGGGTCGAAGGTCACAAAGGTATGTCACCTCGACATGCCCCCGATTTCTCGTTCACGATTGACTGATTGGTTCCGCGCGCTTGCGGGCGACAGGTCAAACACGAGGTTAAGGCCCGGCTTACGCTCTCCGCGACGGGCGCCGAGGGCGGCGAGGCCCAGCGCACTCATATCCAGGTGTTGGCGAACTCGGTCGTCGCGACGGTGTTGGTCCTGCTGCATACGTGGGTTCTGGGGCGTGGTGCAAAGGAGGAGGAAGAGTGTTTCTCGCTTGGTCGGCGGCCGGGAGATGTTTTGGTTGTGGGGTTTGTGGCGTATGTTTTTTTGCCCTGTGGATTTATTGACTGTCAATGGCTGGGTTTGGTGATTGGTGCTGATGTGATGACTTGCGGATAGGAACTACGCCGCTGTCGCTGCGGATACGTTTTCCTCTGAGCTGGGGATTCTCTCCAAGTCGAAGCCGAGGCTGGTTACGTCGCCTACGCTGCGGGTTGTGCCGCCGGGTACGAACGGTGGGGTTACGGCTACGGGGTTGCTGGCTGGTGTGCTGGGGGCGTTTACGATTGCGGTGACGTCGGCCATTCTCATACCTTTTTGCTCGGGAGAGGCGTCTGGGCCGGTGAGTCGGGTGCAGTGGGTTCTGGCTGTGACGGTGTGGGGTGCGTTGGGGAGCGTTCTGGACAGTATCCTGGGTGGGCTGTTACAGGCGAGCGTGGTGGATAAGCGCAGCGGGAAGATTGTCGAGGGTACTGGTGGCGGAAAAGTATGTTCCGTTCGATATTGTCACACGCGTTCCGCAGATGTCTAACGTGGATGCAGGTCCTCGTCCATCCTTCCTCCGCACGGCCTGGCAGCACGGCGCCGGTGTCGAGCTTCTCACACAGTACTGACGGGAGCGTGCACCTCCGCCATACGGAGGAGGTTGCGAATGCTGCCGCATTGAAGGGTACTCGGGCTACAGGGACTTCGAGAGGCAAGTCGCCAGGGCGGGCCACGGAGCCGCATAATGAGAGCCGGCGGGTCGAGAGCGGATGGGATGTGCTGGATAATAATGCTGTGAATGTTTTGATGGCTTTCATGATGAGTGTGGGCGGTATGCTTGTTACATGCTGGGCGTGGGATTTCTCCTTCAGCGATGTTGGACGATCGATTGGCGTTTTTTGAGTCATGACAACGGCCTATGCTATGGACCAGATTGATGAGTGATATTCTCTTGTTAGGTAGAGATCATCACATCCCAGTTTGATGCCAAGAATTATGGTGGAATCTCCTCGAGATCCATCTACGGAAATGTTATCTAGTCCCCCGAATGGGCTAGTGGTATGATTCATAAGGAAAGGCAGTGCTTGGGGAGATGTAGAGAACCTGGTTGGAAGCTCTACAAAATCCTTTGTAACTGTCAGTCACGTGACACACATCGAGCCTGAGGCAGTTCGACATACGTCTGTGGCTCTCGGCCTTGTTGCTGGCGGCTGTAAAGTCCCTCACATAATGGCCAATATTGCAACGAGTATCTGATTACCAATACCTACCTCTATCTTGGAATCCTGCCCAGAAACTTGAAGAAGCCGTAAGTTGTAAGCACGTAGATGACTAGCGCTGTGGATCCACGGAATACGGACGTTTGTGGAACTAGCAAACCTAACAAACAACATAAATATGGAGAAAGTGAGACAGCCAAACAGTGCAAATCAGATGCAAACTCACCAACGTCATCCATCTTGACTCTCGTCTCCACTGGGATTGCAGCCATGGCAGCTTGCGCGCTTATGGTTGGATTGTTGAACGACGCGACTCCCAATTCTACAGCTGGATCGTTACTACTCAGGGTAAATATCTCCGTTTGCATGAGTCACTTGCAATGGGTGTCCCGGTCGAGTCGGGTTTTCACCGAGCACGACGGAGAAACAAGGCGTTGTTGAGAAGTGTTGAGCAGTTTGAGAAGTCGCATGTGCAAAAGGCATCAAAATCATGGATACAGAAATACAGGCGGGCTAAGTCGATAGTGATTTGTGACTTGCATTAAGACTTGCATGGAGGGTATACGCTCAGGTACAGGCTACTACTGCAGAGTGGGATGGGCGACGACGTCACACCACTCGGACCCGTACCTTACCTCGCGGATTTTCCCATCCCCCACCATCTGATAATCCAATTCGCGATCTTCGCCTCTGGCGGCTCCTTGGTATTATTCCCTCTGTTGTTGAGCGAGAGAGAGGGTTACCTAGTGCGGGGTGTTTGCATCAAAATAGCTCAGTTTCTCATTTGTTAGCTTGAAGTGTATTATTCAGGGACGGCCTATCGTGTTCCATGCAACCAACATGATGATGATGCTGGATCTGGCGATGCTTACCCCTACATCCGGGCAGGAGCTCGAGGTCTGGCCCATAGAGCTGCCCTTTCCACCTCACCTCGACTAATCATCATGCTGCATCATATTCTACTATTCGTAGTCCTGTTCCTGGAGAATGTTCCGTCCAATTCCCCCCAATATATTTCTTTTTTTTTTTTTTGCATCTGATCCAGCAGCTCAGCTCTGTCATTTAAACTAGTGCATTCCCCTCCAGTACCCCTCACTCATTTCTTCTGTCGAAACAAGGGTCGAAATCCCCCTATATCAATCTGAATTATTTCTTCGTTCTTTACTCCGAGGACATACTTCTCGCCTTTCCCTTTTCCTCGTGTTGTCCCTTGAAGTTTAAAGTATAGTCAGAATGTCCCCGTTGCCGTGCCCTGCGAAAAATGTTGAGATTGTCGATATACATCAAAATGACGTGGAATTCTCGCTCGTGAGCGAGATTCGCAAGGGTCTCAACCCTCCCGAGGGTACTCCAAAATCATTGCCCACCATGCTACTCTACGACGCTCAAGGGCTTAAGCTCTTCGAAGAAATCACATACGTGGATGAGTACTACCTGACCAACGCGGAAATCGAAGTGTTGCAGAACTACTCCAAGAAGATTGTGGAACGCGTCCCCGAGAACGCACAATTATTGGAGCTGGGTAGTGGGTATGATTTGTTCCGAAGAATGCTCCGAAGGTTCTGTATCTAACCACCTGTGCAGGAACCTTCGTAAGATAAAGATCCTTCTTCAAGAGTTCGAGCGGACAGGAAAGCACGTCGACTACTATGCATTGGATCTATCCCTGTCAGAGCTACAGCGCACCTTTGCCGAGGTATCATCTGACGAGTACTCTCATGTTGATCTCCACGGTCTTCACGGAACCTATGATGATGCCCTTGCCTGGCTGAGCAATCCTCAGAACCTACAGCGTCCCACTGTGGTTATGTCCATGGGATCATCGATTGGGAATTTCAGTCGTGAAGGTGCAGCAGAGTTTCTTGCCCAATTTGCTCGGCTACTCAAGCCGTCTGATCTGATGATCATCGGGCTAGATGCTTGTACGGACCCGGAAAAGGTCTATAAGGCATATAACGATTCAAAGGGCATTACCCAGAGGTTCTACGAGAATGGGTTATTACATGCAAATGCAGTTCTTGGATACGAGGCATTCAAGCTTTCTGAATGGGACGTGGTGACAGACTATGATGTTGACGGGGGTCGACATCGAGCATTCTACTCACCGAAGCAGGATGTTACGATCGATGGCGTGCTTCTGCAAAAAGGCGAGAAATTGGTTTTTGAAGAAGCAACCAAGTATAGCCCCCAACAACGGGAGCAACTCTGGCGGGATGCGAACCTCGTCCTTTGTGATGAGCTTGGAAATAGCTCTGAAGAGTACCGTAAGTTGGTCCTTGCCTCCCGCAGCACTGTGAGCAGAGATTATGGGAGAAGCGTCCACTAACGAAACTGCCATCCACTGACAGATATCCATCTGCTATCACCGCCCACCCTCAGCCTTCCCAGCCAACCGTCCGAATATGCCGCCAATCCGGTTCCGAGCTTCAAAGAATTCCAGTCATTGTGGACCGCTTGGGACACGGTTACAAAGGCCATGGTGCCCCGAGAAGAACTCCTCGCGAAACCAATCAAGCTTCGCAATGCATTGATCTTCTACTTTGGACACATCCCCACGTTCAACGGTCGGTCCTCCAGAACCTTTTAGTCAATGCCGTGAGAATGATACTGATGCTCTGTTAGACATTCATTTGACACGAGCTCTCGGTGGCTCTCCGACAGAACCACGAAACTATCGACAGATTTTCGAGCGTGGAATTGACCCCGACGTAGACAATCCCGAGCACTGCCACTCTCATAGTGAAATTCCAGATGAATGGCCTCCCCTTGCCGAGATTCTGGATTATCAGAACAGAGTCAGAAGTAGGATTGAATCGGTTTTGCAGAGGGATGACATAACGCGGAACCGCTGCCTCGGGGAAGCACTCTGGATTGGCTTCGAGCATGAAGCAATGCACCTGGAGACCTTCCTCTATATGCTTTTGCAGAGTGACAAGACCCTCCCACCGCCGCTTGCAGACAGGCCAGATTTTGAGAAGTTGTTCCATCAGGCCAGAGCGAACGCGAAACCAAATGAATGGTTTGCTATACCCGAACAGACATTATCCATTGGGCTCGACGATACTGACGAACGATCTTTGCCTGATATGTCTTTTGGATGGGACAATGAGAAGCCTCGACGAACAATCACAGTTCGTGCTTTCGAAGCACAGGCTCGTGCTATAACAAACGGCGAATATGCCAAATACCTGCAAGCGACTCGTCAGCGCCGGCGGCCAGAGTCCTGGGTCCTAACTCATTCGGATGAGAATTACCCAATCTCCAAGGGGGTGACTATGGAGAGCAGCCAAGCCACGAAGGATTTCATGGACAACTTCGCTGTCCGCACCGTATTTGGACGTGTTCCGCTCGAATTCGCGCAGGACTGGCCTGTTATGGCTTCCTATGACGAACTGTCCCAATACGCCGAATGGGTGGGCTGCAGACTTCCCACTTATGAGGAGGTCAAGAGTATCTACAACTACTCCGCTCAGCTGAAGGAGGCAAGGCAACGTGAGCCATCAGATCACGAGAGGTCAGTATATTCCACTAAGTGTTTGGAAACTTGGCCTCCTCTGACAAAAAAGTAGCAACGGTGTCAACGGCACTAACGGTGATATGATGACGAACGGGCACTCGAAGGTTCACCCGGATAAGCCTCGGACCCCAGAACACCAGCCAGTCCAACCTCCTTCCCAAAGCACAATGCCAGTATTTGTTGACCTCCACGGTTGCAACGTTGGGTTCAAGCACTGGCATCCTTCCCCGGTCATCCAGAACGGCGATCGACTTGCCGGTCAGGGCGAGTTCGGAGGAGTCTGGGAATGGACCAGCACGCCATTAACGCCACATGATGGCTTCAAGGCCATGGATATTTATCCAGGTTATACAGGTAAGCTGTTGACGTGCTCGATGGATTTCTATAGACTCAACTAACCGGAAATAGCGGACTTCTTTGACGGAAAGCACAACATTGTCCTGGGTGGCTCGTGGGCAACGCATCCCAGAATCGCCGGGCGGACAACATTGTAAGTTATCACCCGTCATGTCCACCTGAATATGCACTGACCGTTTCAAAAAGTGTCAACTGGTATCAACACAACTATCCTTACACTTGGGCGGGGGCACGTCTCGTGCGCAGTCAGTAGGATAGACGTCGCCTAGAATTTTGTATAGAGATGATCCATGGAAAGCAATTGGATGCTATTCTTCGGTACCGCTGAAGACCATCAAGTTACCAACCTGCCAGAAAAACTCTAAGCTGGGTCTTTTTGCGAGTAGCGTAGTTGACGAAATGGTATTGTAGCATAGTCATATGCGATATCCCGATAAGCTGATAGAGATAGCGGAGTATGTTCTATTCCTCTTTCTCCTAGGATCTAAATTCTATCTCCATGTACCTTAACGTACCTTGACCATTACAACGCCACCGGTACGTTTCGGGCCATCGAAGACGGGGAAATATAGATATCAGTCCCCTTTCGGCAGAGACTATCCAGAAATTAGTGGATCCCGCCACCCGCGGGGAGCTTCCACCAGATAACGTGACAAGACACCCCTCCAGCATAGATAACGCTGCAGATACCCTCGGTCTATGAACTATTTCCTTCCACCCCCGACTGCTCTCCCCCCGACCTGTACAAACGAATTACCATAATCCAAACGAATCACAATGTCCGCAGAAACCATCACAACCATTTCCCCCTCCACCAACCGCCCGATTCTCACCCGCACCGGCATCTCCACCGATGAAATCAAGCGCATCCCCGACCTCGCGCAGGAGGCATTCCGCTCCTTCTCGCGGTCCACGACCCTCGAGCAACGACAGCAGATCGTTGACCGGGCACTAGCCGTCCTTGAGAAGAGGAAAGAAGAGCTTGCGCTCCAGTTGACGGAGCAGATGGGGCGGCCGATTTCGTATACTGGTGTCGAGATCTCCACGGCGGTGAAGCGCAGTCAGTACTTGAATCGGATTGCGCCGTCGGTGCTGGGCGAGGAAGGGGTTGTTCCTGGGGAGGAAGAGAAGGGGTTCAAGAGGTTTATTAAGCGGAAGCCGGTGGGGGTTGTGCTAATTATATTTGCTTGGAATGTATGTTTGCGGTTTTCAATTCTGTTTAGTGTGCAAAGAGGGATGAGTTTTACTAACAGTGATCTGTATAGTACCCCTACCTGGTTCTGGTTAACAGCTTGATTCCGGCGATTCTAGCGGGCAATGCTGTTATCCTGAAGCCGTCGCCTCAGACGCCCACCGTCGTGGAGGAGGTTGCTGCTGCGTTCGCTGAGGCTGGTCTGCCGGAGAATGTCCTCCAGTATTTCCACTGCGGAGCGCCGGAGATGCTCGAGAAGCTTGTTCAGTCGCCTCAGATCAACCATATCTGCTTCACTGGGTCTGTGGCTGGTGGGTTGGCGGTGCAGAAGGCCGCGGCAGATCGCATTGTCAGTGTCGGGCTCGAGCTCGGTGGCAAGGATCCGGCTTATGTGCGGGGCGATGTGGATGTGGCGTGGGCGGCGGAGGAGATTGTTGATGGGGCAATCTTCAACAGTGGTCAGAGCTGCTGCGCGATTGAGCGGGTCTACGTCCACAAGAACATCTACGAGACGTTCGTCGCTGAAGTGAAGAAGGTGTTGAGCAAGTATCGTGTTGGGGTCCCGTCGGAGAAGTCTACGCAGATTGGGCCCGTCATCTCGAAGCGCGCGAAGGAGACGATTCTGGCCCATATCGCTGAGGCGGTCGAGAAGGGTGCTCGGGACGAGACCCCTGCCAACGAGACGTTCGATAATCTTCCTGCCGATGGTAATTACGTCAAGCCCACGTTGCTGACGGGCGTCAATCACAATATGCGTGTCATGACGGAGGAGACTTTTGGCCCTGTGCTTCCCGTGATGAAGGTTGAGAGCGACGAGGAGGCAGTCAAGCTCATGAACGACAGCGAGTTCGGACTCACTGCAAGCATCTGGACAAAGGATGTCCCTAAGGCTGAGGATCTCATTGAGCAAGTTGAGGCGGGAACTGTCTTCATCAACAGATCTGACTTTCCTAGTCCGGTAAGTAATACACACTCTTTGGCTTATAGTGCAACGAAGATGACGATTGACATGTCTGTAGGATCTTGCGTGGACCGGTTGGAAGAACTCAGGTCGTGGTGTCACGCTGAGCAGGTTCGGATTCGAGCAATTCGTCAAGCTCAAGAGCTATCATGTCAAGGATTATCCGAAATAGATAACCCATACATAACTTGTTATCCTTTGACAGCCATTAGCATCGAAATACCAAGAGTCAGGCCTTATTGGCGAATTATTGAGATAGCCCCAGGTAATAATAAATATCACTGGACACTCTCAATCAAGGACGAGAATTTGAGGAATGGTTATTCAAGATCTCGACCCTCACGAGGCACGCCCGTCTCTTATCTCCTGTCACAGGGCGACTGAGGATTGCGCACCAACAACAAAAGGTCATGCTGATTTCGCACCAAATAGACCTCTTGAATTCCGCAGCTAAGCCAGTGAAGTTTATTTCAATTCCCGCGATGTTTAGAATACGGCGGGAAGTGCAGGAATTCGAGGTAGCGATGCCCAGAAGCGTAGTAAAAGTGCCAGGCAGCTACTGCATTCAGGACAATTATCAACCTCCCATCAATTGCCGCCATACCCGTCATGATAGGGCGAGAAAGCGGACAACATATCTACGGAGTACTGCAATCTCCCTTGACCCCGAAGGAATTTTGCACATGGCAAGGGATAATTCGACGCTTTGGTTTTGGGACCTTCCCTTTACAGTCTCCAGGCAGGCGGGTCCCTCGCCCATCGGCCAATCGAAAGAAAGAAATAAATCAAATTGCGGTCAATCAGACGTGCAAATAATAGAGCAGATGGGGCGACAGGAATGTCAATGCCGAGGAGGGGGCCGCTGCGGCCGCATAGTTGCTGAAGCAAGGGATACGTACATTCGTAGGCACAATCCTCGTTCTCCCTTCGGGATCGCGCAGCGCCAGACAGCAATACGACCATACACGAGAGGAGGTTAGGAGTCCAGTGGTGCTGTGCTGTCTTCGGTCCAAATTTGAACTCGGCCGACCCTCACACACGTCGCGTGTGGAGGCGGAAAATGTACTGACGTAGGAATGTTGATCGCGATAACGGCAATGGGTACAAGCGATGGAACACTGTTTAAAGCAGCTCCCTAGATGATTGAAAACTTCATACTGCCAGGAGCGCCCCTGTGATGTGCGCAATGCTACTGAGAAACAGACAAGTCGGCCTTTTCAAAGTAAAGGAAAGGTATCAGGCAAATTGCCTTTGGCTGTTATCGCTATGGGCTTATTTTTATCAGCGTAGAGATATGATGGCACATTCTGTGCACGTCAAATGGTGCATATGCATACTGCCACTTTCCGAGACATCTAGGACGTTGGACTGGAACAGGTCGATTTAAGCCACTGGAGTTTGGAATAAAGGCCCAGCAAATCGGTAACCGATTTAGACAAAGCGAGTGGCAACTGCGTACTCAGGAATCTAGGCGCAGGGGTTCTTGCTGCACGTATCCAGTCCATGTACCAGACGCGGAAGTTTGTTGCTGTACTAGTGTTATCGACACGCTTTCAAGGAGCCGATGACAGTGGTGTAAGTATGCAAGGCCTGACAATTTCGTTGCCCTGCATTTTCATCGAAATTTGACGTCGATCGAATGAGGAAGAGTTCGTCAGGAAGGGCCCAAGAACTCTCTGGCAGAAAATTCCACGGCTTTGTCGAGGCCGTCTTATTGGGACAAGTCACCCAGGTAAAACCCGCAGATGCAGCACTGCTGCGAGGAGACAGCTGCCAAAGGAATGTGTGACAGCGCGCTTCACAAAGTTTTCACTCGAAACTCGCAATGCTCGTCGTTCCACAGAGACTACCGATCAGCTTAGCCTACATTGCAGCAGGCGGAAATCATTAAACAAGGCCATACTGTAGGCTGTAGCTCCTTAGAGGACATTCACTATATATGATTGCACCATGTCCATGTCAAATTCGACTTTCTGACTCCAATCCATAGCCTTGATGTCATAGAGCATCGACCAGTCCTTCATTTATCGTGAATTTTTGTATTGTTTCAAGCGTTTCAGTCGAAAGTCCATCGTTTGGTATAAACGTCATTCGTTCAAAGCAGCCTGCGAAAGTGCCCTCTTGACGCTAGATTTTGCATCTTGTCTGCTCTTCTCGCCGCGAAAATCTTTGCATATATCGGTCAACCGGATTTCAACACTCATTTTCCATTTCTTTCCCATCAATTGTATTACCAACTTGTCCCAACTATGGAGTGCTTCAGACAGATTGTTCGATTCGTGAAATCACCATTTCAGAAGAAGACACATAGGGTCTTGGAGATAGTAAGTCCAAAGCCCTCAGCATTCCTCGAGCGAAATCCTGACATTGTCCGCAGGGCCCACCAACGAACTTCCGCAAAGAAGAGCTGCCAAACTTCTTCCCGGATGATGAGTTAGTTCCATTGCTAAATCATAATATTGAATCAAGTTCTGACGGTTTTTCTACCTAGCGCGCTGACATTGCATAGTCATGGCTCGGCACTAGAGAAGGACACAGTCAAGGGAGTTCAGCGTCAGCCGTCCACACGGGACAAGATCAAGGAGCATGTCCGGAGGATGAGCATTAAACTCGTGGGCCCGTCTTCTTGCCATGAGTGATGGTTTCGCTTCGACAAAGATGTTGAATCCAACTTAGGATCGTTGGACATTTTCGAACAATGTCGCCAATGGATATCTCCAGGAGATTGGGGATTGTCGCTGTTCTATGTTCAAAACAAAAATGTCGGAACTTCATTGAGACGGGATTTTCTCTTTACACCACTTTCGTTCGGATCCTTTGTATTATTAGCTGTGTGAGATTTGAGCCGGCCATGTGCCGAAGGGTTTTGATTTGACGGCTCTGGTAGCTCGTCAAAGTCATCGATGAATACTTTTCTTCTCGATCTACCCAACGGTGGAGTTCTGTGAATAACGCGGACGGCTCTTTTTCCTTTACCATCATTGTCAGTATACTGAGGAGTAGAAGAGCTGGTCCTTAAGACCGGTGAGCTGGGATCTGATTCAATAGAACGTTTTTTTGCTGTCGGTCTTGTGGATGTCTTGGTGATCTGTACATCCAAGTCGTCATCTTCCGTAGCGGTTGCATCCACCGCATGATCGTCTGCTTCGACTTCAGTCTGCGGTGAGGAATGGATATGCGCATCAGGATTCGTCTGTTGCCTTTTAACACCAGACGTCTGGGCGAACCCAGCAGCCGCCCTAGTGGACGATTTGACACCTTGCATGCCTACCAGCGACCGAGCCTTCCGTGGACTCGTCATAAGGTACCCTAGCGAGGTACCCGCAAGCCCATCGTCTTCATCTGTATCGTCTTCCTCCTTATCAGAGTCCAGCTGCGGCCGCTTACCGCCCATTTTCTCCAAGCCTGCCCTTTGGCGGGCTGAGAGGGCGGCGGCGGCCTCCGTCCTCTTCATCTCTTCGCTCTTCGGCGTGACCCCATCAGTAGGTCGTGCAAGGTTTCGAATTGCTGCTGCGTTTTGGAGTTTCGCCTCCTTCTTGCGTTTGACGTATTCCGCATAGTGGAGGTGCTTGGTGAACGTTTGCGCCATGGCGTAGAACTCGTCTTCGACCATCATGTAAATATCATCTTTATTGAACCCTTCAATCAAATATCTGTGTTTCACATATCAGTAAGGTTCCCTCAGTCCCGGGGATGATTTGCAGTGCGTACTCTTCTGACGGACATCGCTGGATCGGAGACGTTGGAGGACTCGGTGCTGCGTAGATCTTATCAGAAAGGACACGTACAGCCCCAGAACCTCCTTTTACTTACAAGACCGAAGAAAATCTCGTTTCTCTCCTCGCGACGTAGACTTGGATGCCTTCGGCGTCTCCTCAGCACTGTGGTCCGAACCTTTCTCGAGCTTCACTTCACGTCGACGCGGTGAACTCTTTGTGTCCTCGGCTTTGGTACCACTGCCCGTAAGCCATGGGAGAGTCCGAGGCATGCTGAACTGTATTCTTAAATATTTTGGCCGAGACGAAACGCGACATCACTGAGCTTCAATCGTCGTGTTGTCAGGTCTTCGTTGTCGAGATCTGACTATAATTCTGTCTCCGCAATCGATGAACGATTGAGCGCGGGAGGCGTTCCGCCCCGCTCTCCGCACTGGGATTTAGTTGATTTAAGTCTACCTAGCAAGTGGCGGGAACTGCGGGCCAACTCAGTTTCACTCATCGCAGAAGGAGAAAGGTAGATGAATCAGGGTATCTTGATTTGATATGACTATTGAGGTATTCGTGATGCGAAATCTAGCTCTTGCCCCAACGCCAATAGAATAAAACCCGAAAGATGAAGAAAACCATGTGCCCAGCCAAATCAAATGGTGACATCTTGTACAGGAAAACGCCTGGCGAGTGAAATATCCCAGTAAAACGCCATGAGTAAATCCATAAGAAGGTGTTTACGCCTCTCCAGGGCGCTTGCTATTGCAGCTCACAATCTTCACCTTGTCTGCTGTCACTGTCGTCTGGTTGTCCAACTTGAAAGTAACGTCTTTGATAAGGAAGGTCCACACTTCGTCGCAGAATCGATAGGTATCCAGGTGACCCTACAGTCCAGGAAAGGGCAAGTTAGTCACCGTCAATGTTGTCACAAGAGCAGTTCTATTCCCGGTCTCCTAGATCGGTCGGGCAAGTTGTAGACGGAAGAAGCTACCTTGAACGTAAGCCTTGCGCGCACTTTATCCGCGAGCACTTCTGTAATAACACGATCAAACGTGGAGAGAATCTTCATGGCGAGCTGGGGCTCAATCCGGCCTTCGTTGATCAAGTCATCGAGCGTATCGGTAAGGGAGAGACCGAGACTGGGCAAAATGGTCAGTGAAAAGTAACACAGCTTTTGCTGGGTGTCTAGTACCTGCTCCCGCGATACAACTCATAGTATGCCTGAGCACTCATATTGTCATTTAAATGTGAGCGATCAAGTCAGGGGATGGCGAAAGGATGAATCAGGAAGAGTCAGGCTGGGCCGGTTGAAGCGTATCGCGGGGACAACCATCACGTGATAATTTGATCGTGATGTCATGTGACATTGACATCATTACAGAGTATTGATGATTACATCAGTGTCAACAGAATAACACCCCAGAAAGGTACAAACCTTGAAACATCTACTTCTTCTGGTGGAGCTGAATCTCAAAAGTCTTTTGCTTGACACTTGAACATCATGAATGTACAACAAATTTTGTGCATGGCAGTACGCCTGCCTGTGCGTACATCGCGCCTCTGCTCTGGAAAGCGGCTCTTATCCTACACGGCGCAAAGGTCGAGCAAGTCAAATGCTAAAACTGGTTTGTGCATGATGTACCTCAAGCAATTGTCGTCTCTCATTGCTAAAGTCCCTCGAAGTTCAGACCCCGTCCGAGGATCCATCAAACGTCCGCGACGGCAGCAAGGAATCAAAACCCAAAGTGACCAAAAGTGTTGCTCAAGCGGACGAGGAGCTTCGTGAACGCCTCGAGCAGATGTCTGGTGAGGGTGGGGCCTCTGGTATCGAATATGAGGATGGCAAACCAACCGCCATGAAACGGAGTGTTCGGAACAACATGTTTCGCTACATCTGAGCGAGCAACCTGGCTAAGTCCACGAATTTCTGACCTGGCGTGCATGGGCATTGGGGCAAGAACCTGATATGCGCCATATAGCATCGTTATTCACTTAGGCTGTTGTGAGTGAAATATGCTTTGCGGCGTATCCGCCAGTTGTTTGGACTGAGATGGATTGCAGTCATACGCCACCGGGCCTTCCCTTCGCTTGCAGTTACTCCATATCGGCTTATGTATCGTCAGAGATAATCTGATCTTGACACGACAATGTTGCGATTGCGTTATCCCGGTCTCGCGAAAACTATCCACAGTGACCATGTCCTCAGACTCGGTATCACGTCTGGATGGATGATGGAGGAGGATCGCCCCAGCAAACCCGGACATCCTGCGGAGCTGGTTTGAGAAGATCGAGGACGAGCCGTCTTTGAAGTTGATTACTAAGAATAGAACTGTGCATACAGAAACGATCATAATACAGACCTCTGGAGACCGGCATTCAAAGCTGGGAATGAAAATTCAAAAAGCCCAATTACTCAGCTTCAAAAGGATGGAGCAAATAATTCACTCTAAGACCTGTTGAACAGAGGACAGAAAAGAAACACGAAAATCCCTCTATCTCGGAAAGCAGAGATAACCGAGGCTCCTGCAGATAGCACCAGTTCGAGAATAGATTTAGACCGCATGATAATCATAATCTCTCGTTAAAATTTCATTTTGAACGTTCACTGGAGAACCAGGCATTTCTAACCGTTGTTCACCATTCCAGCAAGCACGCCAGCACCGATGACTCCTCCATCTGAAGCTTCTCGCAGAAATACTGATTTACCGCTCTTCTGGGGACCCGTTCTCATAATCAGTCGATCAATGTATTGCTGACACGTCTCCTTGAAATTGGGATAGTGTTGGATTATCCCGCCAGTGTAAGCAACAACAAGCTCTTCAGGGCCTGATTGCCAATCTGCAGGTGTCTGTGTAGGCAGTAGAACTGGAACAATCGGCCTTTGACCATTCCTAACAGCGCCGCCCTCCAAGGACGAGGATGTAGTTTCGTTCAAAATTGCCTGCAGTTTAGCGCTACCGTTGCGCTGAGGCGATGCGGCAGTTGAACTTTGCGGTGAGTTCTCATTGCTATCCACCTTCAACTCGATCTCTTGTGCGCAGGCGAGTAATCCAACCACTGCCGCAGCTATTAACCCAGCAGATCGACTCTGTACAACTCGAGCGATCTTCCGAAAAGCGCCCGCAGTCAAAGCATCCCAGCACCATTCGCTACTCTCGGGTGGAGGTAACGATTGGTTCAATTCCGCAGCGAGATCTTCGTCACGTTGTGGGCGAGCGACTTTGTCTGAGACGTACGATGTGGTCAGGGCATATTCCTGGACGAGCGTTGCGGGAAGCTGTTTCTTCTTCAGTCCAACAATGTTTGTAAGGTAGTCAAAGAGTATCAGTCGAATGAGTTCTCCGATGTACCGGCCACCGGTCATGTACTCGAATGGCTGAAACCCAGGACGTGCGCATGCTTTGTCTAGCTCTTCGTCCCACTTGGTTATGATATTGAGCTCTTTCAAAGGGGGGGCGGCGCCCGAAATGGTCCATTCAGTGTTGACAATTGTTTCTTTTGCGTCCGGGTTCTTTGACTTGACATGTTCCGCTTTAGATTCATGTAGACTCTCAAGCTTCATGGGAATAGTGGCGTTGCAGCCTGTGCCTACAATGATACCCATTGCGACACGACTGTTGGGCAGGGACTTGACGGAGTAAGCTAGAGATGCAAGCGTAGCGACCGCATCATTTGTGATAGCGGCGATCTTCAGTTTAGGTAGTGCAAAGAGTTTTCGGCGCTTGCTCGAGGGCTCGTCCTCGTCAGGACGTCTGGTGTGCTTCTCGTAACCATGAAGCAGGATGTTACGAAGATTGAGATCTGAGGTGATAGCGAACCCTTTGCCCATCGGCATCAGCGTAGCTTCCGCGAGCGACTCTTGCCTGTATGACTTTGTCAGTCAAATGAATTGCACCAAAGTCGCCCGAGAGAAAATAATAACAGGCCACGACTTTTCATGGCAATGATACTCACATGATAGGAAAACTGAACGTAATTCCCATGTCTAATTCTTGGGGAATGTTGCCCTTCGTGGCGTCCGATGTCAAGCTCTCGGCGACCACTTCCGCGATACAGTCCCCAATCCATGCGAAGAGATCCTCCGCCTTATCCATCTTCAAATGTTCCTGTATGGGCCATGCTTTCTCTAGTGTCCGTTTGACTCGTTGTCTCTGTGCCTTTCGAAGGGTATCCCTTGATCTTTCCGATGCGTCTGTTGAACGGATATCAGAGTCGGCCGCTTCCCCCAACAGTTCAATGAATGCGACTCGCAGATTGCTTCCTCCAACATCAATAGCCAGATAACGACCGGTCTCAAGGCCCGTGGGCAGTCTAGTGACGGGAGTGGGCAGAAATTGCTGGTCTGAGTGTAATGCTAGGTGGTGGTATGTGCTCGAGAAGCGACGCGCAAGTCTGTAGAGGACTGCTTCGTCAAGAACCAAAGGCGACAGGAAATCATCAAGCCTACGTTGGTACTCTAGGTACTCCTTCTGTGAAGGATCAAGCTCGGACACATTTTCTTCCTCATCCTCTTCGACGTCGATTGCGTCTTCATGTATATCATGTTCCTCATTCCTGCTGTTCTCCGCCTCCATCACGTTCATCGGTGCCATTGTAAATCTCCTGGGTGTGTGAGAATGCGAAATGACCCGATCAAGTGGAATGCATGAAATCCGAAACGATCATTCGAGGAGACTCATGGGATGCGAATGTATGTATTCAAGTTTATGTCATGCACAGAGCGCGCATGTCTCAATGGCAGGGACGGGTCTTGTTGATTCCGCTCCCTTGGATTGCCACAGGTCGATCAAATGAGGAGCTTGAGCTGGAAACAGGATTGAGGGCTTGACCGTCAAGGCGCATGGATCTGAACGGGTCCTTCGAAGCTGTTATTGCGGAGAAGGGGAGGCTCCGGTGCGAGGGCGAAGGATCAAGGGAGTACGTTGACGAGCAAGATTTATATCTCTAATATGGGAACCAGTGAGCCACAAGTTGCGAGAACTGCCTAAATCCGAAGAACATCCTGAAGTGCCAATGACAGCAAGGATCTGCGGGAACCGCAGGAATAATGGCAAGGGCAGTGGCCACAGAGCAGGATAGTCATTGCGCGCAAAAAAAGGAAACTGTTGGCACAAACAAGGACGGGGAAAATAAATTACCTATCTTCAGTAATACCTTAGATGTGGACGTGATCAACACTGATTCTTCACAGTTGGAGCAGAAGCTGGTTATGTCGAAAAGGGACTATGCGATGGGGAAAGAGAGGGCTATTAAGTATAGACAGACTAGCTAGAGGGAGTAAGAAAAGGGTCTAAACAGGACCAGCCAGTGGATACGAAGCCATTATTCTCCACAACGCGGGAGAGGAAAGGAAAGGAAAGGAAAGGTAATTATTCAACGGTGAGGTGCTGCTGGAGGGAGGGGTGGAGGGAAATAAGAGTGGGAATGATGGAAGATCTTAGGAGAGGAGTAGTACGTAGTAGCTTCACTTGCTTCCAAAGCCGCTGCAGATGGAGCAAATGCGACCTTCGGCACGAGACGATGTGACCCTGCTGAATCAATCCGAGCAATGACGGCCTGAGACATCGTTTGTGGTTGACGACAACCGTGGATGACTCGGATATTCTCCGGCACTGGTTAGATTAACTCACTTTAGTGGTAAATATACTCTCTTCATCGTTTAGCATATTGTTGATTGTTTGATTGATTGTTGATGTTTCCTTTCTTACCAGTTCTCCGCCCTCCAGTCATCTTCCTCATGTTGATGCCTCACCACTTGATAGTACCTATTCACAACTCCTCCATCTTCCCCCTATGATAATTTGTACTATCGCCAGACTTTCATAAGGCATTCAACTCTGGACAGAGCATTATTCTCGCCTTCACGACCCCGGAGCACTGGCCTCCTTGAGTGTCGTCCCACTGGTTCGGCACATCGTTCTGTTTCTCCATTTAAGCGACGGTTGAAAGCCAATAAAGCACGAGACGAAAAGAAAAAGGAATATAAAACTTTAAATCGCCGGCAATACTAGATATTTACGGAGCAGTCGAGCTACTGCTCACTTGAGACTGGCTGCGGGACACGAGCACGGATTATCTATATCAGCCCAAAGAAGCCATGTGGTAGTAAGCGGTGGGTCTCCTTACAATTATGCAGACTTACTACCAGTAGTACTCTGTACTAGTATCAAGAATTAAGTCCACTGCGACCAGTCTCCAAATTTTTTTTCATCCAATGCTGTAAGACCGCATTGAGACTAGGAATCGAGTCTCTCTATCTTCGAATCTCAAAGACTGAGCACCCCGATTCGCCAGGGTACCCAAAGCTTCTATATGTGGATCACAATGGCGCTATGATTTAGGTCCCTGATGAAACATGCTAATCCTGAGTGACAACTGACGACTCCCGATCGGTTCTTTTTACTCTTTGCCCTAAACCAAATCGACTGGCTCTCTCAGTGAACATGCGATAGTCGGCTTGCGATTTGAGAGTCCTCGTTCCGGTCGATAGCAATAACAGTGATCACATTAGGTACGTACCAGTTGGCAGTAGCGATGTTCACGCCCGCATAGACTACGTACCACGCTTCTTGGTGTCTAAGCTAGACCCTGCCCAGACTCCGAGATCGGAGTGACGTTGGTGTCCTCGAGCCGACGGAGTTGGGCCAACAGTCCGGTGACATCTGCGACAGGATGCGCATATCTCGCTGCATACTTCAAGATTTGGGATGAGCAGCTCACTATTATTGAATACCATCATGAGCCATTCTGATACAGTCCCCACTGAAGCTGCTCACCACAGGCGACTTTCTCAGCTTATCTACCTTCTGTTCAGTATGGTCAATGATGTCGCGCCTTGCTAGTCATAAAAGGCATGATTACGAAAAGTGCAGATGTGCTGTGTTGAGCGGTAGCGACAATATTTGACGTCTAAAGGAACTGCAAAACGTCTGAGCGCTGAAGCCAGCAGAGTGGTACTGGAGCCATTCGGAAATGCCTCGGGCTTCGGCTTAACCAATGCAAGCTAAAAGGAATTATTGTTCTCCATGAGTCTCGACTTTTGCAAGGATGGTAATCTGGGTTTCGGCCATTCCGATATGTCCTAGTCAATATCTGAGCGTACTAATATTAGACTACGAACATAGCAGAGAACAAGCCTGGCTAGACATCTTCCGACATGCCCCTTGATGTGGTGACCTCGGATTGGGAAGCTGTTTCTGATGTGGTGCTGATCTCAGAATAGATGATTTCATTTGAATGCCCTATTAAGATGCCAGGCGTAGCACCGAAGGTTTATTATACTGGATCCGTGACTGGTTGCTGGAATGAGCAGGGAGGATTTAGCCGAATGCTCGTATATGTGGGCTCAAGCCAAGGATCTAGCTGCCTATAGGGCGTCAAACGACGCCGATAGCTCCAAGTCTCCAACGATCTCGAGATATATCTTCGCTTATGGGACCGTCTCTCAATGAGTATCTAATTACTATTTATTGATCAATAATACTGCTTGTGTCAGCAAGCATGACAGCTGGGCTTCTTAACTTCTGTATCTACCTTGTGCTACCTGATGAAGTCGATAAGCGAAAATGTCTTTTTTTTACTAGAGGCAGCCGTCAGTGTTGCATGACGCTTTTATGAAATGGATGACTCCTGCCTCTTGGTTGCTTTGATGAGCCCATCCATGGCCTGTTTTCGGCACTATTTCGGCCGAACTTGACATGAGACGATGGATCTGCAGATAATGTCACTATTTTTATTGCATGAGGTGTTGGGTGCCCTGGAGCAGGCGACGTAACACTTGAGTCCAGGGCCTTGTTAGGAATATTAAGGTATGCTTTAATCTAAACAGATACAACGTTGCAATCTCAAGATATGACCGCGAACAGGGGTATGTGTCAGTCAAGCATTTGATGCCCATTGATAGTTGTGGCATCTGGTTTGTAGCTTATTCGAGTATTCCAAGATGATGTTGATGGTTGCCCCTGCAATTGCCAAGAAATAAGATAGTTGAAGATCGAAGGATCCACGAAATCCACGAACAAAAAGGTTGAGGCTTGCAGTCTTGATCCATGAGATATGCGTACAGGAGTCGGTAGTTAGCGGTTGGCCTAATAATAATGAATGTGGTAATGGTCACCTTGCAACGCCGCTAATTAGCTTTAGGCGCTGATTGTGCTCACAAGTCCACAACTCTGTGCTCCCGTCCTCAAGTGACGCTCTCTACGGGCCTCCACAGTCACATCGATCGATTAACTAACCCATCAATGACCCTGCTTCCCCCACAGCCTCCGAATCTAACCTCTTCCCCGCATCAATTATAACATACCTGTTGATAAGGGTCGGTGAAGTACGGATAGTTATGGAGAAGGTACAGTTTCAGGATGAGAAGGAAGGTCTCCATGATCTTGGCGCGATCGAATCTGCTGAGGCTGCCTCCAGCCATTCCCGCCGCGACCGGCCAGCATCACATTTCCTGCGACGTTCTTTAATAGTCATATCGCTTGGATTCGTCCTTTTTAGTGTTCTCAGCTGGTTCCCTACACCTATCCCTAAATTCTTCTTGCATTCATGTCATCCTTCGTCGAAAAGGCTGGATGATGGCTTCTCTGCTTCGCCCCTCACGAGCGGTGATGTGGCGCCGCTGATGGAGCACAAGCCTGAGGCATCAGCGGTCGACAACAAAGTTCTGCTTGAAGCTCACGTCATGAGCAAATGCCCAGACGCCCGTGATTGTCTGCAAAAATTGGTAGTCCCTGCCATGGAGCAGATCAGTGACAAAGTAGACTTTGGATTGTCATTCATTGCAAGGTAAGCTAGTGCAAGACCTTCCTGCCCGGAAGACGCAACTGGTCCGCAGGCTAAGCAAACTACAGTGTATCCAACAAATCTACCGATGTAGTATGCAAACATGGTCCTGCTGAATGCATAGGCGACATGCTCATCCTCTGTGCTGCGAATCTCCCTTTCCCACCGGAGGGACAAAGCATGCTTCGCACCCCGACGATCCGCTCCCTGGGCTTCGCCAACTGCCTGATCAGTTCCTATGAGAAGATCCCGGAGCGCTCATTCGTCGAGCAATGCGCCCTGGAACATGGCATTGATTTTGATGCTCTGAACGAGTGTGCCAGCCAGCAGGACGATGACCCTGGCCATGACGGAGGGGACAAGGATCCCCTTAGCGGTATCGCGCTGCTCCGCAAGAGTGCCCTGTACAGCGAGGCGCTTGGTGTCAGAACTAGCTGTACCGTCCGGCTAGATGAGCATGTGTGGTGTGTTCGTGACGACGGCGTGTGGAAAGACTGTGCCCAAGGAGGAAGAGGTAGTCAGGTTTCGGTGCTTGTTGAGGAGATCGAGAGGACTTGGAAAGAGCGGAATTAAGCATTGGCTTGCGAATGATCTAATGTTGGAATTGACTTGATACTTTGCCTCAGGGTTCATCATGACAGATCGCAGTTCGTACTAATCTCATGATGCTATTGTTACTTCTAGGATACCTATTAATTATTCTGTGCTGCTCTCTTTACGAAATGAGATTATATTTTTGAAATGATGCTTTCACATTCCCTATTGACTCTTCACGGGGCTTATTGATTGAAAGCTGTCAGGCAATAGGTACACTATCAATGCAGTCAATACCTTGAGTGAGCAATATGAGCTAGAGAGATGTTGATTTGACCAAAGGTTCCTGATAATCCTTTTTAGGAAAGTGCCCCCATTGACAGTGGTCTGCCTCCAAAGACTTCTGTTGTGTAAGGTCTTGACGGGCACGTTCTAGATGGATGGGTCCCAGGGCATCGTCTCATTCTTCAATCCAAGTCAATAGCATCTGCTTTCTCCCACTAGCCATGTGTGAACTGTGAGAAACACATCTTGTCTGTGAAGTTATCTTTCACACTTTTCCACGGCCACGAAATTTATCCTTTCATCTCCCACCTGAGCTACGACCTCAACACCGCACTCATTCTGTTTCATGGAGCTGGTCTTCATCTAATTATTCGTTACTTTCAATCAGTCATGTACTCACTGCTCCTCTAGACTCACCAACCAACCTTCCCTAAGAGCATCTCTAAACACAATGGCTTCATCCTGGATACCAGAAAACTCGTCCCCTAAGAGCAGCCGCCGTAGGGGAATTAACCTGCAAAAGAAGGTCGATGAGCTCGTGCACAAATACTTCAAGATCAAATGTCCCAGTCCCGTCCTCCGCGATATCCTCAGAAGCACTGAGAAATCCGATCTCCTAGTCAGTGCTGTCCGACTTCAGGTTTCACTGGCCAGATGCCGCTCTCAGGACTTTAATGATGGTCAGGTCACCATCTACGATAAAGCTCTGTTGACGCTGTCAAAAAATGGAGACGAGCCTGCGGAACTGAGCGTCCTTGAGCTCTACCTGACTGAGTATCTGGGGATTGTGCCTATTGCCAACACTTCGCACAGTCTGAATGTGGCCACTAAGCGTCTTGGGCTGCATCGGGCTTTGACCAAAGGTTTGTCCACAGTGATTATTATCTAGTGCTTTATTCAATCATACTGACTTGCGTGTTTGGTGATTTCAGCGCCCTCATTGACATTTCTCCACGCAGAGTCGCCCAATTCTGAAGAGCCTACCCTGAAGGTGGATGGACAAGTCCCTGCCATTACCACCAGCAGCAGCGAGCCGACAAAGGAGTCTGGCCTTCACTCAGAAGATACCAAAGGTTTGTCCGAAGTCTTTCGCGAAGCAAAGCCTGAAGGAAAAAATGTTGTCCCCGATAAAGCGGATACCCGGAAACATGATCGCGAGAACGGGCGGAATGAAAGAGCCCGCACGGCCGGCAAAGAGCCGATGAAGAACTACAATCCCGGCAAAGCAGATACGAAAGCTTCCCTGAAAAGAAAGAGGGACGACGAGAGCGTCCAGAGTCGAGTGGAGCGGCTTCTTGATGTCTTCTTCAAAGCCAGAGATGACCACATCAACAGAAGACGAAAGGAGACAGCAAGCGATCTAAACACTGTTCGATTTGTGCGAGACTCAGCCGAAAATGCTCTGACATACCTCCGTGCCAACAATATGAAGGACCATGAGGCCATTCCGGACCTTGAAAAGTGGTTTGTCATCATGAGAGATAAAGCTACTGCTCTTACAGGTGGTCGAGGGCGCCATTTCGATGAGAAGCCTCCCCCGGCCCCCAAATTCTTGCGCCCGAAGAAGCGTTCACGATTCCTGATCGACTCTTACAGACCTCGGCGGTGGAGTCACTTGGTTCCTGAAGGTGATGCCTCTTCTTAACTCACGGTTCGTCAACCAATCTTCCGTCGCACCGACGTTTGAATGTTGACTATTGAGTCGCAGTGTGAAGACCGGATTATTCTCAGGCCACTATCAATGACCAATTTCCGAGACACGACGTGAATCAAAGGCTGGCCATCTTCGTCCACAGCTCTGTGATGAGCTCCGGTGCCCCGATAATTTGATAGAGGATGCTGGTGGATCTTAGCCGTGCAGCATCTGTCCTTGGCGCAAATCATCTCTCCTGGTGTGTGCCACGTGCACCGTCTTGTGCCTGTCTACCCCTGTACTTAATCCCACCAGATTTAGACCTCCAATGTCAGATGATATTACGATAAGTGCTAGATTTGGTGCATCACATTTCTCGGATATCTCTGCTTGGCTGCTGAGATTCCCTCTGGAAAGAAAATGGATCCTTGAGCCAGAAAATACGGACAATTCATACATTGATTACTCCGTAGATGGCCTCCTATCATCTGCAGCCGACCGAGGCAGCATCCTATGGCTCCAGCACAGGGACACCGGTTAGCGCGCAGTATACGCCAGATTCCGGAGCATCCGACAATGAAAATGCATCTTCGAGTTTCAAACGGCCACCATCTGGGTCGTTGAGATTGCAAACGGACTTTCGCGCAGAAGCGGACTACATTTCCGACGATGAGGGCCAAGATGAAGGCTACGATTCGTATGACGACCAGGAAGCGAAGCCCAAAAGGGCCGTAGTCGGTACAAAGTACACGGCAGCGGAAGAAATGCAAGTCGTGAAGAAGTTTGACCGCAAGCTGGTTCCATTCTTGGCCCTTCTCTACCTGCTCTCGTTCCTGGATCGTTCTAGTGAGTTATTCACTGTTTCGGAACAGTACATCAAATAGCTGACTGCTTGCAGATATTGGAAATGCAAAGATTGCTGGACTCATGGATGATTTGCGTCTTTCATCTTCACAGTATGAATGGCTTTTGACAGCTTTCTACATCACATATATCCTCTTTGAGTGGATGACCCTTATGTACCGGATCGTTCCTCCGCACATCTACATCTCCCTGTGTGTATGCGGATGGGGTCTCGTTGCATCCTTTCAGTCACTGGCTACTTCATTCAGCACCCTCGTGTTTCTGCGAGCCTTTCTAGGCATCACGGAAGCGGCATTTGGCCCTGGCGTGCCGTTCTATCTCTCCCTGTTCTACAAGCGGGAAGAACTCGCTTTACGAAACGGACTGTTTATCTCAGCGGCTCCCTTGGCGACTTCATTCGCGAGTAGTCTCGCATGGCTGATTGTCAAGGTCAGCAGCAATGGCCCCATTGCACCGTGGCGGACGCTCTTCCTGGTCGAAGGATTCCCCAGTGTGCTTGTTGCGGTCTTTGCGTGGATACTGATCCCTGACTCACCTGAGAGCGCTCGTTTTCTTGAGCCTAGAGAGAGATTGGTAGCCAAGCTGCGGCTGGGGGAGACCAGGTCCGACTATCATGGGCCGGATTCCAGGAAGTTCAATTGGAGGGAAGTTGTCAAGGCGCTGGCGGATCCCAAATCTTATGTGACAGCTGTTCGTGGAAGCTATATCTCTCCCGCCTTGGGCTGAACTGACGTGCACCTGCTATAGTTCATGTTCTTCAGCTGCAATGTCGCTTTCAGCTCCATGCCTGTGTTCCTGCCCACCATCATAGAAGAGTAAGCCCTGGCATCAGCAACCCGGTTGGTCAATACACTCACACTTTCACAGCATGGGCTACTCCTCCCTCTCCGCGCAAGCCCTCTGCGCACCTCCTTACCTCATTGCCTTCGTGGTAGTCCTGGCAACCGCCTACCTATCCGACCGTCACAGAACCCGAAGCCCCTACCTCATCGCCCACGCGCTGATATCCTCGTTCGCCTACCTCGCAATCGCGGCTACAGGCTACTACCACACGCACTTATCAACAGGCCTACAGACCTTCATCCGTTACGCCTGCGTCTACCCCGCCACGTCAGGCTTCTTCTCTGCCATCACCCTCATCATCACCTGGACGATGGACAACCGCCCGGCGAAGGAAGGCAAAGGAGCCAGCATGGCAATCCTCAACCTCATTGGGCAGTGTGGGCCGTTACTCGGGACGAGACTGTACCCGCGCAGTGAGGGGCCGTGGTATGTGCGTGGGATGGCAACATGCTCTTTCTTCATGGTTGTGGTTGCTGTCCTTGCGTTCGTGCTGAGGGTTATGCTGCAGAGGGGGGATCGTGTAGCGGATCGGAAAGGAGGCGCTGATGTTGAGATGGAAACGCGACAGGTCCTTATGGACGGGAATCAGTTCAATCATAGTGTTGAAGAGAGATTTGTGAATATTTTATGAGGCGAGCTTCGTGTTTGCTGCTGCATCTACAAGTTGGGTTACATGAAGTCATGGTATGTATTTAGTCCAGATTAAATATTACACTATTATTATGTTTGCTAAGAACCTTAACAGAAAGGAAGTCGCTTATAGTACAGAAAAGGACCAGAATCATGTACTTTCGTCCCAGTGAACCGATTGCCCGAGGCATATGAACTTACAGGAAGGAATCAGAAGTCGCTTACTTCTAAAACCAGCAGTGATTAAGATCGCCGAGCTCACCACGCAGTATGACCACCATCAATGATCATCGTGCTGCCTGTCATAAAGCTACTGGCATCACTGAGCGCGAAGAGCGCCGCGCCCCTGAACTCCTCCGGGCACGCGAGCCGACCGAGCATATTCTCCGCCTCCCAGATAGCTTTGGCCGCCGGATTCTGCTCAAACACCTGCTCGACCATCGGCGTGAGGACGTGTCCCGGGCAGAGACTATTAACCCGGATCCCCTGCCTTCCCCACTCCATCGCCAGGGACCGCGCGAGCTGGATCACAGCCGCCTTGGACGAGTTGTACACGGGCGAGGTCATGCCCTTGTTGGCGATGAGCCCGCTCATGCTTGCAACGAGCAGGATGGACCCTTTCCTCTGGTACTTGAACATCTGGCGCGCGGCTGCGGTCGCGGAGTTGAAGACGCCGTTGTAGTTGATCTGCATGACTTCGTTCAGGGCCGACTGGGAATGTTCCAGGGCGCTCTGCAGGTGGTTGATGCCTGCGGCGGCGATGAGGCCGTCCAGCCGCTTATCGCGGGAGGCGATTTCGGCGAAGACGTCGTTGACCTCGGGTTCGTTGCGCACGTCGATGCGTCGGTATTCCAAAGCGCCGCCGTATTCCTTTTCGGCTTGGCCTTTTGCGGTTTCGAATTCGGGGTGTGGTTTCTCGAGGCGGTCTAGGCAGTATACTGATTTTTGAGAGAGGTTAACGGAGTGCTCAGGTGTATGGTGTCTGTTCCCAAAGTGAGGATTATCTGTACCTTTGGCTCCGGCTTCCATCAGCGCTTCGGCCATGGCCAGCCCCAGGCCTCGGCCGCCACCGGTGACGGCGTAGACGCGGTCTGCAAGATCAAACTCTTTGAATCGATGCGGTCCCACCCGGGGAAGCTTTCTCTGGATGTGTTGCTCATTTGTCGTGGTGGAATATGTTGATCGTAGGAATGGTTGAAGCGAAGTGCAGGGTAGCCGTGACCGCAATGCGGTCAGCGACCGCGTCAGAGTGAAAGACATGTCTTGGTCAAGTCTTCTATTAGATTGATCAAAGAACAAGGCGCAGAGATAAGAAACAGTTGACCAGGAAAATGTCAAACGACAGGCAGCATACAATTGCACACTTCAAGATTCTACATGACCCAAGGTGTATACTAGAAGAGTTCTTAAGTTTATACCCTTGAGACAGAGGCATGATATCACCTCGATACAGGCGAAGCAAGGCAAAGGGGTAAAAAAAGAGGATGGCCTCGTGATGGCCCTGATGGAGTCTAGAAATTCCAGAGTTGCTTTCACGATGATACAATATGACCCAGACACAGGATCGCCCGGGAACAACCAGGGTACAATGACCCTGGAAACGCACGACAAGCACCAAGAGATAGAGCTCGCGATAGTTATTGCGGCAACTGACTCAGGCCAGGATCGTGACTTTTTTTCATTTGGAGTTACTTGATTGCCGAAGACGGTAAGAGACATGATCAGTAGATCGAAGGGATGGAGACTGCTTATGTTTCTTCCTGGAATGGCCCACTTTAGCTGCACGGGATGTCCAAAACTGGGAGTCCGTGATGCTGGGGCCTGGAGATATTACTATTAGTTTGATTCCTGTATACCTCTTTATACAGATCAACTATCAAGTCCTGCGAAATTGTCGCTTGGGGATAACCATAAACTCCATGCAATTCAAACTGAAATCATAAGAGATCAATAGATGTTATAGACCAGACCCGAAGAGTTGCCTTGTTTCTGCGATAATTCGACTCATTGCTCGGTGGTGACGTAGAGTATTGCGAATTGAACTCCAGACCTTTTTTGGGCCCCAGAAATCGCCGAGGTGGAGCATTTCTGGAGTAGCAGTACCACCTAAGAATCTCTCGGACCCTTTTTAAGTTCTTACCGCGAAAGCGGAGAAACTAAGATAAGAACTGATGACTTGGTAAGGCAGCATCGTACAAGGAAAGAGGGGTCTAGACAATGGTAATAAGACAACTAGTGAGGAGCAGCATCACTACATCTTGACGCTCAAGTCTTCTCGGGCAACTCCCATTGCTGTACTCCCTTTGTCTTCCGAAAACAGATGAACACGGATTTGGGTTTCAGGTAAGAAGAGAACGTTGTGCTTATTCTAGAATACTGGGTAATGTTCTGATGAACACTGTTGACCAAGTCATGTATTCCGTCTGTGATAATACAGTCCTCCAATCCTGCAATCCATAAGAATAGCCAAAGCGCTCCTGCTAAGCACCTATGTACAGCTGGCAGTACTTCTATCTAGGTCGACGAATCATGGAGTGCCCGACGCAGAGCAACGACTCTATTCATTAGTTAGCATTATATATACTCCTATTCACCAACAAACACTTTTCATAAAGCTTTCTCAGAGAAGAAGCATAGCCAACTTAATAGCCTAATATAGAAGGGAAAATTACCGCGGTGCAAGGATAAGCTCCAAAATCACCACCCCTTCCAACACAAGTTCCAGTATCACTAGGCACATTTACCCGTCCTCTAGTACAACTCTATAAGTCATGAGTTCATTAGCTAGTATTTTTCCACATAGAAGTAGTGTAGGGATAATAGGGTAGGGTTAGAGTGTCATACATAGTCGCCAAGGGCAACTGCCAATAGAGACAAAAGGATAACAGTCGGAGTCAGTTTCATCTTGTTATTGAAGAGTCAAAAATCACTACTTAAGACTTGTAAGAAAGCAGATGTTTTGAACCAGTTAACCAAGTTCAGTGATAGGTAATAGCATTTATACAGCTCAGCTGCGATTCATATATAGACGGCATAGCGCCAAGTTATTGATATTGATATTCGTTTGTAGACCAGTCCTTCAATCCTTCGGTCCTTGGATCCTTCAGCTGCAAGTCTTCTCATTCTTACAAAGTAGTGGGATAGCGTCATTGCAATTGAGGTGGAGCCTTCGAATCGGGTGAGAGCAGCGGGTAGGCCAGAGGCCGCCCTGAAGTCCTGTTGATATTGAAGGGTTCTACCTTCCACTTATGCTTCTACCTTGACAATGAAGGAATGCAGGGTTCAAAATGACTATGCACATAGTGAAGATGACTAGCGGATATCTCCGTGCAGTTCTGTAGACAGAAGAACTCGTCATCTAAGGTACCCAGATAAGTCCAGACAGCGGGGAAATGCCGGTAAAAATACCTGGCCATCTTGTTACGCAAGTCAAATTGCTCAGTGGGACATATATATATTTACCCAAGCGTTATGCGCTACTGTACAGACCAGGATTGCCGAGATGCTCGGAATCTTGCATTAAAGTTGACCCTCGGCCTCGTGGTACAGAATGCGCATCATAATTGACACATCTTCTCCATTTAGGGAGCTCGAGTCGGTCTGCGCCACCTTGCCGAGCATTTCTGGACGGTTCAGTGAATGTTTGAAGAGATCTGTCTGGTCTAGCAGTGTCGACGGCTAGAAAACTTCTGTCTCGCTTTCTCTTGTCATAGTCTCGTTTGCGTCTTTTGAGGTTTCCTTGCGTTGTTGGTTGGTGCTTGCGTGTAGCTGTTCCTGCTGTAATCCCGTTGACTTGACATGGAACAGATTGAGATACGGATTCACTTGGGTCTGACTTGGACCAGTCTCAAAAGTGCTTTAATTTGATCGTCGGTCGTCGTCGAGATGTCTCGGAACGACGTCAGAGGGAGAAAATATGATTCGCCTGAAAGTCGATAAGACCTGACAGATTGGTGATGAGTGATGATAGACAAGACAGAGCTGCAGCTTCTGTAGAATGGAAGATCTGCACCAAAACGTCATCTACAATCGCCAGTAAGCAGGTATTATTGATTCATGACCTAGCCGGGGTGAAGTCCATCATGCCGAGCAAATTAGATTCATATCAGAGCTATAGCGATTCGAGGCGCTCTATGGGCATAGTAAAGCACACATGACTGGCCGTCTTCCTCATACATTCATAGCAAAATTCGCTCCTATACCTCTATAAAGGGCCACAGTCGAGGAATGACAGGGCGAATAAGGATCAGTATACTCTGCAGAAAAGCCCAAGCGCCAGTGGTGCAAACGAGCGGTCAGCTCAGAGTAGAAAGAAAGGACTAGTGTGCGGCTACTCCATCTCAAGGAAGTCGCCTACCACAGGGACTGTAGGTCCGAGGCTTCCATTAGCATGCCCAAAGTCCAGCTTCATGAGAAGTTGATCAACCCCAGCTGTTTTTCGCGGCAAGTAATGGCAGAATTGAGCGTTCACGCCGCTGCCATTCTGTCTGTCAGCGAGCGGAGTAGCGCGGGCATGCTTTACAAGGTCAAACATCTTTCGTCCCTCTCCCGATCGACTGTCATCAATGTCTCGCAGGCGAGCGACGACGTCCCTGATTCCCCCTTCGACCGCCGTCCGCGCAGTCCTTAATGCTTTCAATAATTCTATCTCCTCCCTGGGATAGTCGGCCAAGGCGTCTACCACACCTTCGTCCGTTTCCAAGTCCATATTCTTCTGGACACCTTCCAGGCGAATAATAAGTGCGATAAAATGGTCAATCAAGCTAAGCAGGGATCGGAGGGCCTCGGTGAATGGTTTATCTGTCAAGAACAGTGACTGAACAAGCGAAAAAAGATAGCGACGATGAGCGACTGTCAGAGTTTCGGGATCAAGTCGTTGCGGCGCAGCCTGACTTGAGCGATCGATATCCACTCTGCCTTCAGTTGGACTGTCGCTATACCTGCTCTTCAGAGAAGCAGATGTTCCAGGTCGAGAGCTCGTCGAAAACGTGGCAGTGGCCAGTCCACCTTGAATCCACTCACGAAAGTGCTGCCAGCAGCCATTGACAACTTCACCCTGGAAAAAACTACCAATCTCTGATAAGACGAAGAGCGCAGCACTACTCGTTGCCCATACTGGTCTCATTTGACTAAGTCGGATATTGTCTCTCTGCCTTCCCAGCTTAAGCTTACTCTGTCCAAAGGGAGTGTTGCTTCGTGGTGGGCCCCATGGAGAAGGATAACTTTTTCGGAGAAAAGAGTGCTTCCAGAGATCATTAATTCGTATTTGCGCACGTCGAATGCCCAAAAGATATGAATGAATCCTTGAGTAAACAGCGATATCGGACGTCGATAGAAATAGGTCAAGGGGCGCACGTACTTCTACCGAGAGAGAAGTTCGCGTTGGAAAAAGCAGGTCCTCAAATGAGACGTCCGAGATCTCCGCTACTATTTCACTTCCAATTTCGTCTGAGAGCGGTGCAACCGTATGCCCACTCCTACTGTCAATGACGGATAAGCGAACAAGGTCTCGGGCAAGATCAAGAGACTCATCCACAGGGTCTTCCTCATTTTGTAGAGAATAAAGCTCGGCCCAAGTGTGTGCCAGAGCATGTATTACATCCCCGTCTTTGACGACAAGCCCTTCAAGCTCCGTTTGCGCTCTGACCCGGCCAGCGAGGAGCTCAGGTCTTCGATGTCGCTCGATCAATCTGGCATCAGCATGAGACACAAGCGCAGTAGCGAATTCACCGCGCCCCAGTAGAAGAAAATCATGCAGCACAGAAAGAATCTCGAGGATCTTGGGTAACGGCAGTAGCTTCGAAAGTACACTTTGTGACAAAGACAAGCGGATAGAATCTACCGCGTTGGATAGTTTTGAAGCTGATATTGGGGATCCCAACGAGGCGAGGTGCGCAATATGCTCTCCCTGAAGAGTGACTGGCGGTGCCGCAGAACCAGACGATCCCGTTGTGGCACCTTTCCGCTTAGCCGTGATATGATTTAAAGTCTTCCCGATAAATAAAATTGATGACGCCGTGTGCAATGAAACAAACTTTGGGAGCAGGCTTGTCTGCATCACAAAGTTTGCAACGGAGGACGAATCATCCATTCGGCTCGAATTATCCTCCTGAATGAAAAAGTCATCCTTCCCAAAGACCGGGAGATTTCCATACAGTAGCCACGTCGATAGCTGCCTCATCCACGCAGATTCGGCCACGGTGATCAGGTGCAACGCGATTTCTTCGAGGTCGAGATAGCCCGTTTGGGATTCTGTTCGAAGGTAATCAATCAGGGCGGAGCCTGTACAACCATATGCACTACTCGTCCTGTTTTCGGGAAGAACGAAGCGGGCAATCTCCCAAAGCCAATCTAATCGTCTCGTCCAAGGCGAAAACTCCCCGACGATGGTTGACAATGGTACGATGCCATACCCGCCAACATATGCACTATCCTCGGCCAAAATTGCCTTCTCGACTTCCAAGATCTTCCTCTGAAAACCTCCTAAATGATGTGCGTTTATAGCTGAGGAAACAGCACGGCAGATGATCGAAGGATGTGAAGATGATATCAGAGACGTGTGTTCTCGAAGTCTGGCATGGAGTCTACTCAAATGGGCGAGCGATGTGAGGAGGGCTTTCTCCGGAGGGGACAATGGAAAAGCATTCTCAGAGACGACATCTTCTTCTGAACTGAAAGCGAAGAGAGGGGACGGTTGGCCTGACAGTGAGAGTAGGATCTCGTGGAGCATTCTGCCTGGAGTCCACTATCTTAAGGTTAGAGGAAGTGGCCTAAAGAGCGTTGTGCCTACATGTATGACCGACCTTGATGATGGCTTTCTATCCGCTTTGGACTTTCGACGCTGCCAATACAGTAGTCCTCGGCCCAGAAGCTCGTAGCGACACATAAAAACAAAAGTAAGGTCAAGTGGGTGTCCTGAAACTTGAGTTTCACGACGCGTCGTCGGAGACTGATGTGACCGCGGAGATTGTGGAGGAGCCCGATCAATGTCACTCAACAAGTGAGTGTGAGCACCGCTGGGTTGCGTCAATCATCCAGTATACGCATCATGAACTTACGGCAGCCTGAATCCACCCTCGCAGCTGTCATCACTCTAGCTATCTTGCCTCTTCTTCAGAGGTTCCACCGGCAATGCTTCCTTATCCTAGGTCCTCCTCGCGGGGCTATGGCCAATCACAGATCATGAAACTGCTGAGTCAGCCATCAACAGCTTGTCCCTCTTACGTCGCCAACTCAGAGAGACATCCTTCTTGCCTCTCTGCTTGGGTAATCCACGATTCTCTGCTTTGTAAATCCATCATCTACCTTTACTGGTCCAGAATTTCCAAGACGACGCATTTTTGACTTCGACTGAAAGCCTTGCACGGTTCCTTCTAGCTGTACTTACCACCTTGAGCGACGTTCTAAGCGCTCCCGCATTTCTTTAGTCTGCACCAGGAGTGATAGACACGACTTAATACTGCTAGAAAGTCTTGCTCGAAGGCAAGACTTTCACCTTAAATCCTTCACAATTCCTTCAGAACTACCTGTTCGTGACGCTGCGAAGCTGGCAAAGCGTAGAGCGTCCTGCGACCAAGCAGCAACTCCGCCTGAGAAGAAAATCATGACGGTATGCTATCTCATCAACGATCTGATCTTGTACAGCACGGAGAGAGTACTGAGTATTTATGTCTCTAGGACTCCAATATGCAGCTTGATAACCCCCAGGAAACGGTGGAGAAGATCAAACAGGGAGAGATCGATGAGTCTCTGTACAGTCGTCAGCTGTATGTTGATCCCATTCCGCCTTAATGGAATCCTCTAATATTTATTGGTTTATAGGTACGTCCTCGGCCATGAGGCTATGAAGCGTATGGGCTCTTCGAATGTTCTTGTTGTTGGTCTGAAGGGCCTTGGTGTGGAGATCGGTGAGTACAATAACTGGTTCGAGAAGTACGGTCAACGACTGACGGCCTCTTTCAGCCAAGAACATTGCCCTTGCCGGTGTGAAGTCCCTCACGCTATACGATCCTGCCCCAGTCGCTATCTCCGACCTATCCTCACAGTTCTTCCTTCAACCACAAGATGTTGGGAAACCAAGGGCCGAGGTAACAGCTCCGAGGGTCGCAGAGCTGAACTCGTACGTGCCTGTTACTGTTCATAAGGGTAGCAACTTGGTGGATAATCTCGAGCAACTGAAACAGTATCAGGCAGTGGTTCTCACTACGACCCCTCTGAAGGAACAGCTTGCTATTGCTGACTTCTGCCACAAGAACGGCATCTATATCACCATCACCGACACATTTGGCCTGTTTGGATACATCTTCAATGATTTTGGGAAGAACTTCACCGTTGGAGATGCTACGGGTGAAGAGCCAGTCAGCGGTATCGTTGCCGACATTGACGAAGATGGCTTGGTTTCTGCATTAGACGAGACTCGCCATGGCCTCGAAGACGGGGATTACGTAACATTCACTGAAGTCAAGGGTATGGAAGGGCTGAACAATTGCGACCCACGGAAGATCACTGTCAAGGGTCCTTATACATTCTCAATTGGGGACGTCTCGGGCCTAGGCACGTATCAAGGCGGTGGTATCTTCACGCAGGTTAAGATGCCTAAGTTCGTTGACTTCGAGCCATTCAGCGAACAGCTCAAGAAGCCTGAGCTCATGGTCTCTGACTTTGCCAAGTTCGACCGGCCACAGCAGCTACACATCGGAGTTCAAGCACTCCACAAATTCGCCGAGGCTCATGATGGTCAATTCCCTCGGCCTCACAATGATAGTGATGCCCAGGAAGTGATTAAGATTGCGAATGAACTCGCATCAAGCCAAGAAGAGAAGGTGGAATTGGACGAGAAAATTATTAGAGAGCTGAGCTACCAGGCTCGCGGAGATCTCAACCCCTTGGCCGCTTTCTTTGGAGGTGTTGCAGCTCAGGAAGTTCTGAAGGCCGTCTCCGGAAAGTTCAATCCCATTCATCAATGGCTCTACCTCGACTCCTTGGAGTCGCTGCCGACATCTGTCACCCGTTCCGAAGAGAGCTGTAAGCCACTTGGCACTCGCTACGACGGGCAAATTGCTGTCTTCGGCAAGGAATTTCAAGACAAGATCGCCAATCTCACTCAGTTCCTTGTTGGTGCGGGAGCTATTGGGTGCGAGACTTTGAAGAACTGGGCCATGATGGGTCTTGGAACTGGTCCCAAGGGCAAGATCTTCGTCACCGACATGGATCAGATCGAAAGAAGCAACCTCAACAGACAATTCCTGTTCCGCTCTAAAGACGTTGGGAAGCTCAAGAGTGAATGCGCTTCTGCTGCGGCACAGGCGATGAACCCCGACCTGAACGGTAAAATCGTGACACTTCGAGACCGAGTAGGACCCGACACCGAACACATTTTCAACGAAGAATTTTGGGAAGCTCTGGATGGCGTGACCAACGCCCTGGATAACGTTGACGCAAGAACTTATGTTGATCGTCGCTGTGTTTTCTTCCGCAAACCTCTCCTTGAAAGCGGTACCCTTGGTACGAAAGGCAACACTCAGGTCATTCTGCCCCATATCACCGAATCCTACTCGAGCTCTCAGGATCCCCCAGAAAAGTCGTTCCCGATGTGCACATTGAAGAGCTTCCCCAACAGAATTGAACACACAATTGCCTGGGCACGGGATCTCTTCCAGACCTTCTTTGTCGGGCCCCCTGAGGCTGTGAACATGTATCTGTCCCAGCCGAATTACATTGAGCAGACGCTCAAGCAGGCTGGAAATGAGAAGCAAACTTTGGAGCACCTCCGGGACTTTTTGGTAACCAACAAGCCAGCTTCCTTTGATGATTGCATTGTCTGGGCTCGCCAGCAGTTTGAGGCTCAGTACAACAATGCAATTCAACAACTTCTCTACAACTTCCCCCGGGACTCCAAGACCTCTTCCGGTCAACCTTTCTGGTCTGGGCCGAAGCGAGCCCCAACCCCCCTCAAGTTCGATAGCTCGAACCCAACTCACCTAGCCTTTGTCGTTGCCGGCGCAAATCTCCACGCCTTTAACTACGGAATCAAGAACCCCGGGGTAGACAAAGAGTACTACAGAAAGGTTGTGGACAACATGATCATTCCTGAATTTACACCAAGTTCTGGTGTCAAGATTCAGGCCGATGAGAATGAGCCCGACCCGAATGCTCAGCAGTCTTCGTCCCTTGATGATGGTCAAGAGATTCAGCGCCTCGTTGAGTCTCTGCCTTCTCCCGAATCCCTCTCCGGATTCCGCTTGAACCCCGTTGAATTTGAGAAGGATGACGATACAAACCACCACATCGACTTCATCACCGCCGCTAGCAACCTCCGCGCGGACAACTATGATATTCCCCAGGCCGACCGCCACAAAACCAAGTTCATTGCCGGTAAGATCATTCCGGCCATTGCCACAACTACCGCATTGGTGACAGGCTTGGTTGCTCTGGAGCTGTACAAGATCATCGATGGCAAGGATGATATTGAGCAATACAAGAACGGCTTCGTGAACCTCGCTCTCCCGTTCTTTGGCTTCAGTGAGCCCATAGCCAGTCCAAAGGGCAAGTATATGGGCAAGCAAGGTGAGGTGACTATTGATCGACTTTGGGACCGTTTCGAACTCGATGACATTCCTCTACAAGACTTCCTCAAGCATTTCTCCGACCTGGGCTTGGAGATTAGCATGGTCAGCTCCGGCGTCAGTCTGCTGTATGCCAGTTTTTACGCCCCATCTAAGCTCAAAGACCGACTTCCTATGAAGTATGTATCGCCCTTTACACATCGCTCTCGAAAATCGACTAACATTATTTGCCTAGCATGAGCAAGCTTGTGGAGCATATTAGCAAGAAGCCTATCCCGGATCACCAGAAGAACATCATTTTTGAGGTGACTGCAGAGGATCAAAATGAGGAGGATGTTGAAATTCCCTACGTTATGGTGAAACTTCAGAAGTAGATGGAATTCCAGCGCAGAAACCAATATGCGAGCACGACCTATGTTAGAAGTCTGATTTACAGCACTCTGTCACCGGTTTAGAAACAAAAATACGCGATTTGTTGTCATCATCAAATGAGTGATAATTCTGGCTCTACATAGCAGTAATGATAGAAATGAGGGTGCGCTAGAAGCAGTTCTATCAGTGAGGCTTTGTCAGACTTTATGCGATCCATCCGTAAGCACTCAGTAAGCAAAAACGTCATTGTCCCCCGCACCACATTTCGGTGGTCCATCAAGATTGTAGCAACCCATTATCTATTAAAGGAGCCATTTCCTCTCTTTGTTCACACTGAGAACTTCGGTAATATCTCATGCTTGCTGCGCTCCCTCGAACCCAACTGGTCTCGCGGCATATCCTGAGGTCCATAACAACTACCGGGTTTCGCAGTTCCCCCGCAACGTACGGAAGCTCCAGTATCCTCAGACAACCTCTCTTTCCAATCCGCAACATGGCCGTAAGCTCTCGAATGCCATGCCACATGTCTCAAAGGGCTCTTGATTGACATATTCTCCTTGCCAAATAGACAGGCAGTACAGGCAAAATTACCGACTGGGTGGACCCCAAAGACAAGTCCGGCGAATTTAAGCGGCAGCAATCGGTTTTCCGCAACTTCATCTCCAGGGAGCCTGGCGCTCAATTTCCTCCGGAGAAAGATCGCTATCATCTTTATGTCTCATATGCCTGTCCTTGGGGTGCGCTTTCTCTTGAAGACCCCTCCGATTGCTCAAGCTCAAGACACGACGGCTAACACGGCTCCTCATAACGCAGCACACCGGACATTGATCACACGGAAGCTCAAGGGTCTTGAGGATATCATCTCGTTTACATCAGTCCACTGGCATTTGGGCGAAAATGGTATGGAGTTTCAGGTTCGAAGCCGCTAAAGAACGAAGCTAATATCGTCTGCTGGAAAGGCTGGCGCTTTGCAAAAGCCGACGAAGAGGTTGCAGGAGAGAATGTCACCCCAGACCCGTTGCATCATGATTTCACGCATTTGCGTGCCATATACTTCTCCAATGACCCCGATTATACTGGAAGATTCACCGTCCCAGTGCTATTCGATAAAAAGACGCAACGGATCGTGAGCAATGAGGTACATTGATATCCACTCTATCCCCGTCGCCTGAACTCTTACTGATTTGAACATTTGAACAGAGCGCTGAGATCATTCGCATGTTCTACTACGAATTCGATGATCTACTTCCAGAAAAATACAAGAACGTCGACTTGTACCCTCCCGCTCTCCGAAGCGAGATCGACGCCACCAACGACTGGACCTACAACGACGTCAACAACGGGGTCTACAAGTCCGGTTTCGCGACGACCCAAGAAGCCTACGAGAAGGCTGTGACAACTCTCTTCGCCTCGCTTGACAGGATCGAAGCCCATCTTTCAAAGGACGCCAACTCCCCGTACTTCTTCGGCTCATCCATCACCGAGATTGATATCCGACTTTACACGACTATCATCCGCTTTGACCCCGTCTATGTGCAGCACTTCAAGTGCAACATCCGTGATATTCGCTCCGGGTACCCGGCCATTCACCGCTGGGTGCGTCGCCTTTACTGGGATGTTCCAGCGTTCCGGGAGACGACGGATTTTGAGCACATTAAGAAACACTATACGAAGAGTCATAAGCAGATCAATCAGTTTGCTATTACTCCTGTCGGGCCGGTCCCAGATATTCTTCCCAAAGACGATGAAGTGAGAGCCGTTGCTGCACGACAGTAAGTGAAGAATCGACTACTATATTTGATGGACAATCTTATGGGAATACATGCCATAGCATACTCCAAATTGGATAGAAGAATTCAAGTCTGTTTGACAGATGATCTATTTCTGTTGTTATCTGAGTCAGAGCCGACGCTGTGGAGCGTGAAATGTAGATACATAGTTCCAGAATTTTCCAGTAGGACCCGCAGGTATCCTTGGTTATACAAGAATGAAGAAAGAGAATGCAACAAATATGGACAAACGCCACCATATGCATTACCATGCGACGCCCCGCCATGCTAAGGGTGGTCGCTATGCAAAACCGTCCCCAAATGACCATCAGCGGTGGACCATGAGTCGCATGAGTCGCATCGAGAGGTCAATGCTCAAAATATAGGCTCAGAAACAAGAGAGTTCGAATGGTTGGATGGGACAAAAGCCGATAAACGGAGAAGGCAAGCCAAGGGGATCCCAACCGAGAGGAAGGGCTTGCCACTTATGGCGACTTGGCTTTATGGGTATCTTGACAAAATATTCTGAAAGTGAAGAAATTAGAAGGGATAGCGAGAAGCGAAGAGCGACTGTTTGGACCGGTGGCCTGAGGTGTCATCTCAGTCCAAGCATTCGTTTGGAGTTCTCATATACAACGTAGCTGATCGACACGGCGGGTGCTACTTTGAGAAGATTTGGCGTAATTCCTTTGTAAAAGCCACGGGGGCCTTCGGTTTGGAGTGTTTTTCGCGCAACATCAGCGATACCGGTGTATGTTGTGGGGTGGAGTACAGTGCCTTGGGCCTGTAGTCTGGTACGAAGGACATTCAGTGGGTAAACAACGGAAGCGCTGAACCCGCCGCTCAGAGCACCGATTGCTCCTGTGGTGAAGTTGTTGAGGGGAACATCATCTTCATGGCAGTGGCTAATCCGGGCTTGCCGTGCAAGGAGAGCCCGTTTCAAATATTCGAAGGTTGACAGATCGATGGCGGCGTAAGGAAACATGCCAACGAGGCCTAGAGGCAAACCACGAAAAAAGCCCAAAAGGCCTGCTTTGTTCCACACTTTCCGAGCAGTAGCTGCGATGAGTTGATTGCCTTTCAAGCCACCCTCGACGGTGTCACATTGCATTCGGCTAAGACGGGTTAGTAAGCTTTAAAATGGGACGTTTTTTACCGGACCACCAGGACTTACAATTTGAGGGTATCAAGAGGGTAGACGAAGCATCTACATCACTGTTAGATAACACCGTTTTGCGGGGAGATAGCGTCACATACTGGGCCACCATCCCACCAAATCCACCGGACAGGAACTGCGACGTAGGCTGGAGTCGTTTAGGATCGTTATGTCCTTCAAAACGAGCGAAGGCACGTTTTGCGGACTATTCATCACATCATTAATTGCTGACCATAAGTCGCCTTGGTGAAAAATCATGTCATACCTCATAGGCTCCAAATTTAATGGCTGATTCGGGCATAACTTTAACGACATTCAAGCCGTTTCCTTCTGGCTGTCAGTAGATTCCGTGACACAAGAAGCAGTTAACATACCGGCAAACAAGCTCCGTATCCCCCCAGCACGCCATAACTCCTTTACCGCACCGATAAGTGTCCTGGAAGCACAGCCAGCCGCCTTCAATGGGGCACCATCCTTCACTACCTGAGCAGCGCTTTTCTTCGCGCCAGTCTGGGCGATAAGATAAACTTTAAGTCGATCTAAAGGCGCGGTGGCTGTTCTTGATACGGCGCCTGCGATTCCGCCCGCAAGAAAATAACCTAATTGAGGAGTGTTCTCGGTCAACTTCTGTTCATAATATCGGAAGGACATCCACATGGCGACAGTCCTGGGAATGGGCAGCCACTCCAACTCGAAGTCATCGTCTAAAGGGAGAGAATCATGCTCTAATGCGGTGCCCAACAATAACGTCTCGCCGGCTTCGGCGTAAGCTGATGGAACCAAGGCTGTCAAAGCGTGCACAGGGAAGATATTGTACAAGATGTCTTTGATGGCCAAAAGATAACGCTTAAGAAACGAGTGGTCTGTACCTAAACCCTGCAGATCATTGATGTGGACATCTCCTTCCGGGTTTAGATTGCCCGTGGCCGTATAATATGAGAAAACAGCGTGCAGGTTGGATGGCGAATGGGCGGGAAGAAATAGAAGGAAGTCCCTGAGATTGAACGGTCAGCCATCACTAGCAACTTCATCTGACACTTCATGCCCTACCTCCATTCTGGATATGAAATGACACCATCCTTGTTTGAGTCAACATCCTCAAAGAAGGCGTCTAGTTTAGCGCTAGACAATGTGATCCCAGAACGAGAAAAGGCAGCCCTCAGTTCGTTCTTGTCTATCACTCCATTTTTGTTGCGATCGATGCTCTCGAAGAGTCGACATAGCCCGTGTTCAGTATGGTCGACAAAGGCTCGAAATTCTAATCATCATTAGGCGGGTAAAAAAAACTGGCATTAAACCAGTTTGGAACAGGAGAGAAAAGAAGCTCCTGACAATGTCCGTATGATCTTACCAGAGAAGTCTATGTATCCATCGCCGTTGGTGTCGACCGTCTGCAGGATATTTCGTATCATGTCATCCGCATTTTTCAGAGCTATCAAAATTGCGATAGCCCAGGTCAGTCAGCTGCTCAAGGCGCACGGGATCCGGTCAGGGAGTATGCTCACGATGGTCAATCCTCTTGAACCCCTTCTTTAAGCCATTGATATCGAGTTGACCTTTTTTCTGGACGTCCAGGCTTTCCCAGAGTTTTGCGACTCTTTGGTCACGTTCATCTTTGGACTCGCCGATTGCCATGTTCGATGTTTATCGATTATAGCCGAGGACCCGTCATTATTTTCAGAGAGGTCACAGAAATTTAAGGTCGGAGCTTTCCCTGTGAGGGCAGGGGTTCGTAAATTTTCGCAATGACTGGTGCATCGAATCCGTGGATGTTGCAATATGAAGAAAAAGCCACTATATGCTGTGCATTATTATTGCAGTTGTTAATGAAATCAAGCCCAACACAACTCTCCATGAGAAATCCAGCCGCGATGATTTGCTTTCCTTACGACATCAGCCGGAAGAAAAGCAGGTTCCGGCCCGGTTCACGGGACCACAGGGCCCAGCCCTACTAGTCCCCTTTAGGAAAGATTTCACCCCCGATTACATGTTCGAAACGGCATATCATTAGATGAAGTGCATGTCGCGGCATGCCAGATCTCTTGCTGTCTGACACCTAGAATCATTCTTTGGATAG